TGGTGTACGTCCTTCTTAGGACCGCAAACTCATACTCCATTTTTAATTGAGTGCGTTTGGACCGAGGGAAAATAAATTCACCATCACAATTGATTATACTTGAGAGGAAAGGAAAAGAAAGAGTCCAGGTATTATTAGTTTTGATAGAAAATAAAGGACATGAGATTGCTTGACATTTGAAATGTTTAAGCTCAATTCACATTGTCAAGGAAAAATAAAAAATAAAAAATCCAAGCTCAGATCATTTTAAATTTTTTTGATTGGATATGCATTTCAGATTACAAAGTCAGGTTGATTTAAGGTAATTTATATGACTAATTTTGGTACTGAAAATTGGTTATATAATTAACAAATATAAGGAAACATGGATCAATCTTAAAATTTATTTAAGAAAACAAGAATAAAATTATTTGGTTACTTTTTGTCAAATTCACAAGCAGTCACTAAGACAAAGTAAAATTAATCTAAAATTAAAAGTCACTAATACATATTTTGGCATGCGTTTACAGGATCAACACTTTAAATATTTAATTTACACACAAAAAATTAATAATAAAATGAGAACATTTAGATTGATATATAATATTATATTAAGAGTTATTTTACAGTACCTTTGTAAAAAAATTATAAAGCCAATAGTAGTCCCCTAATTATAAATTAGTTACTGAACAAATTCAAAATATTTTATTAAGCTGAGTATAAAACATGAATCAATCTTAAAATTTAAGTTTTGATTATAATCAATACTTTTCAAGCAATTTTTATTTAATGGCCATTTTATATATATCTTTTGATTAATTTTATTTGGTTTATGTTGGGAAGGGTTTTTTTACTGGTTGGAGAAACCCAGGCAAAAAAATAGTCAAATTATTTTATTCTTATTTCTTTTAATAAATTGTCTAATTTTGTCATTTTTCTTTTTTGATATTTAATGGTATAAAAAGAAAGTATAAGTTTCTTAAAATAAAGAAAAAAAAAAGTTAATTAACTAATTGGCGTAAAATTAAATTCTAAAACTATAATTAAAAGTAAGTATATAATTTCTTACTGTCAAATAATATATGTACACACACTCATATATTTTACATGTTCTTTGAGTTAATATATTCTAATTAAATTCCAAATAACACTACGAGGCACAAAAGTTTTTAAATTGGGATTGGATTAGTCTACCTGAGTTACAGACTTACATGAGAGCACAACATTATTTATATACTTTATTCTATATTAAAATATATATATATATATATCAACAATTGCATGATGGTAACCCTTCATAGTGATTCAAAATTAGGACGTAACATGAAAAGACGTTCGATTGGTCCACATGGGGATGGAGGAGGCCCATCGATTAGATAGCGATTTTTAAATTGGGATTGGATTAGTCTACCTGAGTTACAGACTTACATGAGAGCACAACATTATTTATATACTTTATTCTATATTAATATATATATATATATATCTATCAATAATTGCATGATGGTAACCCTTCATTGTGATTCAAAATTAGGACGTAACATGAAAAGACGTTCGATTGGTCCACATGGGGGACGGAGGAGGCCCATCGATTAGATAGCGATTTCAGCCACAAACGCCATCGTTTACATAATAAGTCTAAAAAATTTGAAATGGTCTATGACCATGGAACCAAAGAATACTAGAAAGAAGTTTGTAGGTTTAGCTGACTAATGAGAGGGTCAAACCAAATGTCACTGAATTGGGACCACCGTTGGATTTGGGTTCCACTTGAAACGTCCATTCTTTCGTGCTTGTGCATGTCCTAAGCCTGTCACCACAATTTCAGATTCAGAGAGTCGAGAGGAAAACCAAAAGAAGCCAGAGACAAAAAAAAAAAAAAAAAAAAAGAGCTTATATGTGGATTAGTTCTCTTGGAAATAGGAAGGAAAGGGGGAAATTAAGAGGGAGAGCGTGTAATTTTGCGGTGTCAACGTCGCGCATGATTGGCTCAAGTTGAGAAGAACTTGATCCTGATGCTCAGGAAATATCAGATTCAAATTTAATTCCTTTTAAATATAAACAATTTCTTGAAATAAATGTGTGAGTATCAATCAAGGAAAAAATAATAATTGTAATTCTTTGTACACATTTTTATTCATCAATTTTTTATTTTTTCTTTCTTAAAGTGAAAAGTATTAATAAATGATAGGAGATTTATAGATTTTTTTTATTTTTTATTTTTCTACAATAGTGGTATCCAACGCATTAGACCATCCATTATTCCTTGAGGAACCCAGTCTCCATATTTCAGATAGTTTTTCCGATAAACTATCTCCTGGAATTTTATTTACTTATTACTTGAGCAAGACATTTATGTTATAAAAGTGTGCATATATATATATATAATCAAAAGAAGGGCTAAAATCATAATATTCTGCTCTTATTTCTAACCCCCTCAACTAAAGAAACTATAATATTATTCCTGATGATAATCACGTGCAACAATTGCATCATTTTGCTGACAAAAATAACTTTATATGATGAAATTGCCCTTCTTATACTATAATTTCGGTTTAATAAAATATTAATATATTATTAAAGGCATTATTGTCATGGTTCCGTCACAGAAATGGACAACTTGATAATTTTTGCTAATTCAGGAAATTATTTGATAGTATTTGTAAAAACGAAGACCGAAATTTTATGATTTTATCACTAAAAAGATAAAGGATAGTAGTTCCGTTAAGGATGAAGGATGACAAAGAAACCATGGAGATTGGAGACCCCATGGACGGACCCATGGGGATCTCTCACTCAAAAATGGAAAGGGAAGTTAGAGGGCCACAAAATCATGATCATCATGAATTTATTTATATACATATAACCCATTTAAATGAGTGGATCTGTTTTCCAAAACAAAAATCTAAATTTACTAATCAAATCTAAATAAAAGTGACCAATATATATTGATGAAATGGCATCGTTTAAGTGGCTTTATCTTTCCATTTGAGCACCATCACTCATCATAGATGCAGAGTCAATTTCTTTTAAATATACCGCATTACATGACATACACTTAATTCAGAATTACGTTACATGTGGTATTTTCATGACATACATATGTGTCTATATATATATATATATATATATATGCACATATATACACGTTCAAAGACACTGCTATAAATATACACACATTGGTATAGATACACTATGGTGTGAACTGTAAAGTACCCATAATTCAACAGATTAGGATCCTCTGAGTTAAAATCTCTCTACATTATCCTAAGTTGAATTATTATGATTATAACATGTGTCAATTCACATAAATCTAGGGCTGACAACACTCCACACTATTCCTTCCCAAAAATTGTATAGCAAAAAAAAAAAAAACAAACACGTACCAGTGTACCACTTATTATTATTATTATTATTTTTTTTAAAAAAAAAACCTCATTAAGATTTATCATTTGTTCTTTATAACATTCTCATAATATCTTATTAAATTACCTTATTTGATTCCTAAAAATTATAGATCCGTAATCTAAAAAAAAAAAAATCAGGGAACCTATTTCTTACCAAAAATTCTAAAGCCAAAAAAATAATAATAATAAAAACGTATCATATTTTTTATAAAGTTCCCATATGATTCAAGGACTGTTTTTTTTTTTTTTTTGGCTCTACAATTTTTGGGAAGGAATATGTTTCTTTCTAAATAGTGAATTTTTTTTAAAAAAATGTGTTTTTCTTTCTCAAAACATTATCGTTCCAAACCTTTTTTATCACTAAATTGTGTGGAAAGTTGTCAGCCCTAGATTTAGATGAAATGACACATGTTAAAACCATAACAATTCAATTTAGGATAATGTAGAAATATTTTAACTTAGAGGATCCTAGTCCTAATTCAACTTGTCCGGACACGTGCCTTCTTATCTAGACTTTAAGATGTCACCAAAAATCTTGTGTAGAAAAATGAGTCTTTACAATGCCAGATAATTTCGAGACTACTACTCTGCTTGTTTCACTAAAATATTTATTGAAAATTATTTTTCAGTGTTTGGAAGAGTCCAGGGTTAGGAAATTATTTTTCATATAAATCATTTTACTTCCAAATGATTGAAAATAATTTATCAAAAACAAATTAAGTAAATCATTTTCCATAAACTATCTTGGGTCATATAACCATCCATATTCTTTTATTTTTACTCCTCCATCCCTCTAAAACTAATTTTTTCAATCCTCCCAATCTTAATATCTAATCTTCCATCTTCTCTCTATCTATGTATACATAGAGTGAGAGAAGAGAGAAAAGGGACACAAATTTGGATTGATCGAGAAACAAATTTGTATCAAGAGTGAAGAAAGAAAGTAACGAGAAGGAGAGGGACGGATGGTTTAGCACAGAGAGAGAAAATAGAACGGTTTAGGGAATACTATTCTTTTTTGGTGAGGAACAATGAAAAAAGATGGACACTATTCCGTATTGATAAGGAAAACGGAAGAAAGAGAGTTAATTGTTTACAAATCCTAATCTAGAAAATGTTTTACGGATCATTAATACCAGAAATAAAAAATAAAAAGAGCATTTTACATGAAACTATTTTGTTTAGAAAATATTTTACAAAGAAAACATCTTACGTCCAAACAAACAAGCATAACGTTCATATCAATCAGAAGAAACTTTTTTGCTCAAAAGTGCCATCTTTCTTGCTTGTTGAGTCAAGAGGGCTAACAAGAACACAACTGTTAATTCTCAAGTGAACAAGACATTTTTCTTCCAAAGACAATGGAGGTTGAGAATGAAATTTTTGACTAAAACTGCAAATTCTAATTCAAAGATCCAAATCCACCCCTCTTTTGAGGTACAAGAAGGCTGCAGTTACATTGTTGGGAGACGCAAAAAATTTCCGGCTTCATTGGACGAAACTCGGGCTTCTGTGGACCCCGTTTCGCAGGTAACCCAAAATTTCAAATTTGAAATGAAGCTAACCATCAAAGGCTGAAATCACACTTGTGGAAAAACAGAGGACTACACAAAATGAAGCACATCATAAATCTAAACTGTATTAAATTTTGACAATCATATTGTTACAGCTCAAGCTCAAGCCCAGTCAGTCTCATCATTGCAGCAAAGCTATTGAGATGAATATGACATATTTATCATACAACAGATCTATTTCAGTGTATCAAAATTTCGACTAAAAGCTCTAGTAAGGTAAGAAACCAAGGAAAGACAATCTCATCACCTGAAGGAATAAATAAGAGAGATCCAAACCATATTCTTGGGTAGAAAAGCAGGTACTGCCACACTGTTTGGGAGTAGCCGGATTTCTCTCACGAGTCTTCGGAAGCAGCAGCTTGTCGGATTTTGCGTTGATGCACATCCCAATTGTAGACACGAGCAACTGTGACCTGACCAATAACACACATACAGTAAAATTATCACCATCAACTAATCTAATCAGATGGGCTTATATTTTATATATATATATATATCATATATGCATATAAGGTGAAAAGGCTTGCTACATGTGAAAATATATTGCCTCTAAGTCTTACGCTCCATCGAAATGAATTGAGACATTAAAATTGCTTTCAATGAATTGACAAGACCAAAGCACACTTGGTGGTTTGAGAGCAAACTTGAACCTTTATAATCTCCAAAAGAGAGTAAAATACTAACTGTACCTGCGTAATCGTCACTTGATCCCTTAGGAATTGTAGATCAGCAACAAGAACTTCTAAGCTGGCTTTAGCATTTTCCAAATTCTTTTGTAGAAGAGCAGTGGCCTGCATTTTGAAGTTGCAAAGAACTTAAAACTTCCATGTTCATTCATAAAAAGCTATCATAAACACATCTAGATCACAAGTGGGTACCTCTTCACATGAATACTCCAACATGACATTTGCTCCCAGCCATAAACATACCGAATTGCTATCCTCGATGTGCGCCCGTGAATAGATGCCTTCTGATACTTCAAAATCAGCAATAAGCTCCTGCAACCAAAATAGTAACCACAAAAAAAGTAGTATTAAGTGATATGACAGGGAAAAAAAGAAAGAAAAGAAAGGTCCTTAATTAATACCAGAAACTTTTTTTTGATAAGTAATAATAACATAAAAAAAGACGTTCAAAAGGAGAATACGTTCCTTATACATAAATGGAATGGGGACTAAGATCCCAAAGAATCCAAAAAAAATAATAAAATCTTTAGAAGAAGAACAAGAGCTCCTCTTCACATAATTGAAAAGAAAACGAAGAATGTGAAATTTCACCATTGCCGTAGATGACTCTTTCTCTTCGAACATTCTACTATTTCTCTCCTTCTAGATGCACCACCATACACGATGTGGGACAATTCTCCAGAAATCGCGTACATCCCTTCTCACACGACATCCTCTCCATTCATGAATCAATTCCTTAGTAGATCGTGGCATTACCCAAAAGGGAAACCAGACGAAAGTGCACATCCCACATAATCCCACTGCTATCAAGACGATAACAGTCAGCTACGTAGGCGTGTTTATCAACTGCAATACTGAATAATCTAGGAAATGTACGAAATAGTGGTTGATCACCACACCAAAGATCTTCCCAAAACCGAACGCGACGTCCATCACGAACTTTGAATCTGATATGAGCAGAAAAGGCATCCCAACCCTTCCAATTAGACTTCCACATCCCTACTCCTCCCACAAGGGTAACCGGACATGTAGACCAGCCTCCATCCTCTTCCCCAAACTGACAAGAGACTAACCTGCGCTAAGGATGGTGTCTTTCCCTCCCATATCTCCATAACCATTTACCCAGGAGAGCTTGATTGAAAGGAACTAATCGTTTTATGCCAAGTTCACCCAGTTTCACAGACTTGCAAACTTGCTCTCATCTGACAAGGTGATACTTGAGCTCATCGCCCCTTCCTCCCTATAGGAAATCCCTTTGAATTTTTTCAATCCTATGCGCAACGGAACAAGGGATTTGGAACATAGAAATAAAATAAGTGGGAAGGCTTGATAATGTACTCTTAATAAGAGTAACTTTACCCCCTTTGGATAAGTATTGTTTTTTCCATCATGCCAATCTCTTCGCATACCTATCAATCACTGAATCCTAACTCCCCACTAACCGTAAACAGACCCCTAGGGGCAATCCCAAATAAGGAATAGGGAAAGAACTCACCTTGCATCCAAAAATTGTAGTTAAAGAAGAGATATCCTGAACATTCCCTACTGAGACAAGCACACTCTTAGCCACATTGACCTTTAGCACGAAAACCGCCTGAAAACAAGTCAGGATACACCTCAAAAATCAAAGTTGAGACACATCAGCATCACAGAAAACCAAGGTATCGTTTGCGAAAAGTAAATAAGAAATCTCTATCTGATGGACTAAATCTCTACCCACTCTGAATCCCTCAATAAAACCAAGGTCCTCTGTCTTACGCATAAGTCTGCTTAAACCCTCCATAACAACAAGAAAAAGGAAAGATAACAAAGGATCACCTTGTCTTATACCCCGGGTGCAACCAAAGAAACCAGCGAGAGAACCATTGACAAGAATTGAAAACTTGACAGACGAAAGACAAGTTTCAATCCACTTCCTCCATTTACTTCCAAACCCCATTCTTTGTAACAAATAAAGTAAGAAATTCCAGTTCAAATGATCGTATGCTTTCTCAATATCAAGTTTGCATAAAACTCCAGGAACACCACTTCGCAATCTAGAATCCACATTCGCCAGCAATAAGAACTGAATCAAGAATTTGTCGTCCTCCAACGAAGGCGTTCTTGGAGTCCGAAGTAATCCCATCCATTACTTCCCTCATCCTTAGAGCAAGCACCTTAGCAATAAGTTTGTAAATACAGCCCACCAAACTAATTGGACGGAAATTTTTTATGTCAGAAGTGCCTCCTTTCTTAGGGATAAGGGCAATAAATGAAGCATTAAGCGACTTCTCAAAGACGCCAGAAGAATGAAACTCCTGAAAAGTACCCATTACCACATTTCTTACTATCGCCCAACTTTCCATCAAAAAACGCATGGTAAAACCATTAGGCCCCGGAGCTGTCTCCATTACAACTTGATAAAGCCTTTAGAACTTCTTCTTCAGTAAAAGGAATCTCAATCATATCTCTATCCAGCTTAGAAATAGCATCAAAATGGAGACCGTCAAGTTTGGGTCTCAAAACTAATGGCTCGGTATAAAGCTTCTGATAAAAAGAAGCTATCCCGTTACGCACCTCTTCCTCTCTCCACAGCTTCACACCTTCCACCCGAATTCTTCCGATATGATTACTCCTCCTATGAGCGTTAGCTAATCTGTGGAAGAATTTTGTGTTCCGATCTCCTCCTTTTAGCCAAAGAGCCCGAGATTTTTGTCGCCACGAGATCTCCTCCATACTAGCAATCTTAGCAAAAACCGCCTGACAGGAGACTCTCCTAGAACATAGAGACTCCACATCCCCTCCCGTCTCCTCAAGACGATCAATCTCGGAAAAATCAGCAAGGACTCTGTTCTTCCTCCATTCCAGATTCCCAAAAACATCCTTGTTCCACTGCTAAGAGCAAATTTGAGAGCTCTTAACTTCTTTGTTATTGTGAAACTGGACGAACCTGAAACAATGACTCCCTCCCACCAAGATCTGACTTGCCCTTGGAAATCCTCCGCTCGCAACCACATATTCTCAAATCTAAACGGGGTTCTTCGAGAACACAAACTCCCTACAATCCAAGACCAAAGAAACATGATCAGAGGTGACCCTTGCTAACACCGCCTGAATGACATCTGGGAATTTCTTTTCCCACTCCCCAGAGATTAAGAATTTATCCAGTCTTGAAAGAGTGATTGGATCCCTACCATTTGACCAAGTATAGGCTGCACCTTCCATTGGTAAGTCAACTAGAAGATACTCATCAATAAAATCAGAAAATTGATCCATTTCCAAGAACCTTCTTCCCCCTATAGACCTCTCTGACAGGGACCTAACAGAGTTGAAATCCCCTCCCAAACACCAGGGGAGAGACCACAATCCTTGGATATGGTTAAGCTCCTCCTAGAAGATAAGTCTCTCATCATCAACAACTGGTCCATAGACTCTAGTAAAAACCCATCTGAAATTGTCCTCTTCTATCTTAAACATACAAAACACAGAAAATCTCCCCATCCACATGTCCGTTCGAGATATCCATCTGCTATCCTACATGACTAAAGTCCCACCTAAAGTACCTATAGCATTCAAGGCCTCCCATTCCACAAAGCTTCCTCCCCACAAACTCCTAACCACCCCGTCAGAAATGGATGCCAGCTTGGTTTCTTATAAACAAACAACCTAGGAACACCACATCCTTAAAGCTACCTTCACCACCCTTCTCTAGTTCTGATAATTGAGACCATGAACATTCCATGTTATGATTTGTAGCTTCATTAAAGCCAGATAAAATTATCTCCCCTCCACCCTTCCTAAGACTTCTACTCCTAGTCCTTCCCCTTTCCTTCACCACTCCTCTTTTCCCTTTGTAGTTGACTTCAGAAATAAGATTCTTTATCTCCTGTGCCCCTTTCCAAAACGATAAAGGCCTCGTGTTCATAACTTCATTTGTCGCTGCAACCTCTCTCCCTTTCACAATTGCTTAAAGGATAGATAATGTCCAATCGTCATTATCTTCTGAAGAGAATCCCAACAGCTCACTAGTGACTCCAATATTGTCAAACTACCCAATCTTTCCCCATGTCAGCAACCTCTTCATCAGGTCGCACCATAGCCAATGACAAATTAGAGTACATTATTCAAGTTTCTTACTCCAAGCACTATAAATTGAGATAATAAGATGATAAATAAATACAAAATTTGCCATTATCAAATGTTAGTCAAGCCTATGTGGGATGCTAAAAGGGAAAAGTTGGAGAAAGACCAAAAGACTTGTACTCCATGCACCATAAATTGAGATATAAAAAGAATGTCATTATCAAATGTTGGTCAACCCCATGTTGGATGCTGGAAGGGAAAAGTTGGAGACAGACCAAACTTTTATCATTATATTTGCACATAGAGGTTGCCCTTACACCGTCTTTAAGCTTGTCAATTGTCATTTAAGCTATGTTACATGTACTCTGGCACACGCACTAGATGCAGATGTGTGTCTAGTCTTGGACCTTCCGGGTTTTCAAATCTTAGGATACGGCAAAATGTGACCAAAAATTGGATGTGTATGTAGACACATTATATTCATTTAGACACATGTAATGTGTCCTAATGTATGATGCAATTGTTCTTTAAGTTATTCTCAATTAGAATTTATATTAAACGGGAAACTCTTCTCTGCTATCAAAATTAAGCTCTTTTCTACTTCTTTTATCGTAACATTTTGGAGAATCGGATGGTGTGACTTGGGAACGCGTATGGGACATATCCCATGCCCATACCCATATTTGTGTCATGTCGACATGGGTACATGAAAAGAAATACAAGAGTTCATGTAACATAGAACTCAAGTTTTTATTGCAACTTTGACAGCTATGTCAAAACAATACCAAAGTAACAGGGCATGAAAACACTAGAAAAAAAATATGATGGCTTAGAACCTTGTTATTGGAGACCACCTATCTTTGGTTGGCTATCAACTACCAGAATACTCTCCCTCGCAACACAATCATGGGAGGCTAGACAAGTACGAGGACAGAACAGTACCTGATCTCAACATTACAGGAGCTTGAGATGGAGCTCCACTAAGGGAGGGTGAGAAAGCCATATCTAACAAGCTTAGATGATATTAAGCTACAAATATAAATATAACATTTTATTTTTGACAATAGTGGAGCAGTGGCGGAACATAGAAGGCGCTAGGGGGGCGCAAAACTTTACGAAAAAGTATATGTATACAGACCATATATATATATATATATATATATATCTTTGTAAGTATTAAGCACTTCTTGAAAATTTAATATTGGCCTCCTCAAAAATAACAAGTTATTATAGTCAATCATCCACAAAGT